GCTTCCGAGGGTCGGGGTGGGGGAGGGAGGCTCCTGTGGCAGAACGGGCTGCTGGGCCGAAGAGAGCCTCGCCCCGGGGACCTCCCAGGTGGCCGCTACAGCCTCCTCTCTAGGACACCGCAGTTGCCATGGGAACAGTTGTGCATTAACGGGGATCAGACTAACCACCACCCCTGCTGGAGCCCATCCCATCTCTTTAGTCAAACGCCTCTCACAGGCGTGGGCCTGGCATTTCTTCCTGGCTCAAGATTTTACCCCATGGTTCAGGATTCCCCCTACTTTTCCCACTTATCTGACCTTTCCGCGTTATAAGAAAGCACGCAAGGCTTGAAAGGGTGAGGGAGAAAGAAAGAGGGAATACCTAGAGGTCAAAGCTGCAGACGCAGGCATGAGATGCCAACTGTGATGCTAAGGTAGCCTCTGCCATCTCAGGCCAGTGAAAGGGCGGATTGGAAGGCCGGGCCGTGTGAAGTGGGAAGCAAGTGCCACACTTGAGCCCAAGACTGCTTAAAAGACTGTCCCAAGGGGCTTCTTATCATGATGGCTGTGGAAGGGTCAACCATTACCAGCCGGATCAAGAACCTGCTGCGATCCCCATCAATCAAACTGCGAAGGAGTAAGGCAGGAAACCGTCGAGAGGACCTCAGCTCTAAGGTGAGTCCTAGTAGTAAAGCCACTTCATTCCATCCCTGCCCTTTTCTGCTTCGTGTTCCTCTTTCACCTTCCTCTTTCTTGGGAAAGAAGAGAACTCTTGACTAAAAGATTAAGTATGCTTGTCTCTGCTCCTCAAGGAGGCAGGCAATGGCTTGGTTTTAGGTTGAAGGGAAAAGAGCAAGGGTGAGCATGCCGAGTTCACACAGGAGGTGAATAGGAGGAAGGCAGCCTGACTTCAACTGCGACCTCCGGACAAACCAAGAGTGGGCTTGAGGAAGCCAGGTGATATGTGATGACTCAGTTTCCCTTCTTGGAAGAAGATAGTGGAACCACATACCTGTGAGGGACTAAGCTGTGACTAATGTGGATGCAGGTGTTGAAACAACAGTTGGAGTTGTGTAAGACTGTAGAAGCAGAAAGAAAAATGCCAGATACTGGCTGAGATACTGGCTAGGTAGTTAGTTGTTCTTGCCTGGGGTCAAAACATTTTTTTCTTTAGGAGGCCTAAATTACTTTAACCGGAGCTTCTTGGCTCCTTCGGAATGGTAACATGCAAGGAGCCATGTGTGCCAGCAAAGCAGTTCTTGTTTGCCCTTGAACAGTGCTTACCCCATTCATTGTATGTCAGGAGCCACATCCCTCCCAGCAGCAGATGCTCCTGAAAGGCAGAGTCCTTCCTCATCCCTTCACCTGGCTTCATTTTGGACCTTGTGCTTTATTCAACTTTGTTGGGCCCCACAACTTTGGGACTATAGAAGTGGACGAAATTAATCCCTCCCTCGAGGGCATGCAGGGCTTTGTTCCCATAGGATCAGATCAAATTTTATGTCTTAGCAGCATCCTGTAAACACAATAGCTTTGTGTGGTACGGGATTGGGGATTGGTACAGAGCATATCACTTGAGACAGCACCATTTTATTCCCTTGCTTGGGACTCTTCAGAGATGAGTAACCATGGTGACGAATGAGTTAAAGTGCTACTGTACATTATGAGGATTTAATTCAGATCTCTCTCCCTTGGCAGAACCTTAATTGGATTTAGTAAGAAGGTGAATAGCTTTTCTGTATATTTCAGCAGGAGTTGTATTGAATCACAATTTGCCACAAGATTCCATAGTGGTGGAGATAGTGACCTTTCTTAGAACTTGTTTTTTTGTTGTTGTTGTTGTTGTTTTATATGGTGTCTCACTATATTGCTTAGGCTGTTCTTTAATTCCTGGGCTCAAATGATCCTCTTGCCTCAGCCTCCAGAGTAGCTGGACTGCAGGTGTGTATCTCCATGCCTGGCTTTTAAAGGATTCTTATTACTAATTGCACCTATTCCAGAAACAGAAGAATGAGCCCTCAAATTAGAAAATGTCTCAGATATGACAATTTTTGCTTATTCTTAGTACTGCAAGTGCTCTTTTTTTTGCTGGTAATATGACAGTAACCAGCACTACTAAAACAATCTCACATCTCTGGGCCTTTTTCTGGCCAGAAATGGTATACATAATAAAAATATATAATGGGAGGGCCAGGGATTTAGCTCAGTGATTCTGCCACCTGCCTCTCAAGCACAAGGACCTGAGTTCAATCCCTGGTACCAAAAAAAACCCCCCCAAACCAAAAATATATAATGGGAGTTTAGTCTTCATTGTGAATACTTACTATAACTTTGGTATGCTGTCGCCATTCTTTAAAACTTCCCATTAACTTCATTTATAACATTCAACAAGTGTTTATTGAGTGCCTATTAAGTGTTGAATCAGTGATGATGTCATCAAAGAGCCTGTGGCTAAGCGGACATGTAAACAAATAATTACATCATGGTGTGGTAAGCACTATGCTAGAGGCGTGCATTGTTATTAATGGAAGCACAAGGAAGGGGCCCTCAGTTTAGGGAAATAGGAAAGACCTTACAGAGGAAGGGATGTATGAACTGTGAGTCCTGGGAAAGAGGAGAGCGATCCAGACAAACAGAAAAGGGGGGCATCTTTGGCATCACCATTAAACATCCCTGTTTCACATTGGAATTCAGTGCTTCACACTACTTTAAAAGGCTTTGTCTGTTCCAAAGCTATGTATGAACAAAATATTTAGCAGGAGTTGGGTGACCCTTGAAGGCTGTGACACAGCAAGAGCAATAATGCTTATCTTTAACACCCAAGAAGGGTAGGTAGCTGTCTTTGTGCACCTAGGACCTAGAGATGCCTAACCCCGGACAACTTAGTGAAGGCTATCTACCTAAGATTATTGTAACAGCCTGCTTTGTGATAACCAACACAGGACCTGGTCTATCGGGCTCTGTTAATTGCTTAATATATGATGGCTATGGGAAATCATAGTAACAGAAAGCTTGAGATTCATGGCTTGCTAATTCTGAAATAAAATTTGAAGACAAAAAGATGTGCGGGGGGTGGGGGGAGGCCAAAGAAGGAAGAGTTAGGGGGCCTTAATGCAGCTCTTAACCTCACTCAGATGGCTCCTGTCTAGAATCGCACTGTCCTAAGGTTGCCTTCCTCCTCCTTTTCATCAAAATTCTACTTTACTTCTAGATCTACTCTGTAATTTTCAGTTACAAGGCCTTTTTGGACTAGCCTTACTACCTTGAAGCCAATACATAATTGTTCTTTTATATATATCTTCATTTCCTAAGGTGAGGGTTCATATTTTTTAGTTCCTTTACATCACGGTTTGGGACAGTGTAAAGTATGCAGTAAGTACTAAAGAAGTAAATGAAATAGAATGATTTAAAGATGTCTGATATAATGAGGTAAAATTGGAAGTCCAAAAAAGTACGAAATGATCAGGAGGAGTTTGTGACCCCTTTGGAAGAGAAATCAAAACTAGGAATAAGAACATGGTAGATAAGAAGTAGAGATGCAGCCTATTTCGATGAAGAGTGCATAAGGGAGAAAGAAAGTGCATTCACCTCAAAAGGACTGCTCATTAAAGACTTTAATTCAGGAGAGACCTAGTTAAATATATGGTTAAAATATGGTTAAAAGATTAAGGGAGAGGTGAGGATTTAAATTACTACAGAGAGAGTTGATGAGAGCTGCTGTTTTTATTAAGCATTTTCCAAGGGAGGGGAGTCTGCAGAGGAGTAATTAGAAAAGAGTGATTTGAGGTTTAATGCCAGATCTGCTGATTCTTGATGAAGTATAACTTGAAGTTATCACTTATAAATACCCTTCAAGTTCAAATTCTATATGTCAGTTCCTTCTTATCTCAGTTGAGGCAGTTTTTAAAAAATTTATGAAAGAAACCCCAAATTTCATAATCATATACTAAGAGTAGCAATAATTATTACACCATATATCTTTATTTTCAAAGTAGTTACTCAGAGTATAAGACATAAACCAAAAAAAGGCTATATTTTCCTTAAGAAGCAAATGTATATGCTGTTGGTAGCAAACCCTCCTTCCCCTCTTTTCCTAAAGTTACTGAAAGATTTTTATGTAGAGTGAGCTGGGTTTTTCTGTTTCAACAAAGTATAGAAATGGGCTAAAGCTGAGCAGGCAAGATTTAAGTTAGGGATAAAAAAGGATTGCCTATGCTGGGTGCTTGTTAGATTTGGAAACAGTAAATGAAGATTTTGAAATCTTCTACCTCTTTAATAGCTATCAATCCAATCTGGGTTGTGTATTATCCCTTCTGGAAACAGTAGGTAAGGTGACTTTTCTGGTTGTTTTTATGATTGCAAATTTAATTCTCTTTTTTTTTCCTATATGATTATATGGTGGCGCTTTAAGTCTTTTAATATATGGCTGTAAGGAGAGTATGTGTGGGTGGGTGCTGTGAAGGAGAAAGGCAGTCATCTAATTTCAGCTTTTGCTTGGGGTTTGAGCCCAGGTAGAAATATTGAAACTCTTTGATCTGCCTATTTGGTAGAGGAAAACATACTCATTTTGAAAGCATTATTAGTTCTGCCTTGATGGCTATGAAATTGGGAGAGTGGTTAGAGGGCAGGCAGTGGGGCATTAGAATATCCAGGCAACATTTGTTTGTTTGTTTGTTTGTTTGTTTGAGAAAGAGTCTCACTATGTAGCCCTGGTTAGCCTCAAACTCACAACCCCTCCTGCCTCAGCCTCCAAGTGCTGGGATTACAGGCTTGTGCTATCACACTCAGCTTCTAGGCAACATTTTAAAAGCCCACATTCCTGGGTCCTATCCTAACTGTATGGAATCTGAACCCCCGGGGGTAGAATTTTTAGTTGTGTAATATTAAAGTTCATCAGAGACCACCTGTTGGTTACGAACCCCTGGCCTAGATGCTAGGATTCTGAAATCTGTTTTCTTCATACCAGAGTCTTCACCGAGGCTTCTTAAAAGTATATCTAGGGCTGGGGATTTAGCTCAGTGGTTCCACTTTCTGCTCGCAAGTGCAAGGTCCAGAGTTCGATCTCCGGTACCACACACACACACACACACACACAAAGTATATCAAACTAGCCCAGTTTTTTTCTTGAGTAGTCTTTCTCTCCACTTAGATTCTAGACTGATGGCTCTGTAAACTGCTGTCAGGGATTGATTTGAAAGAACTGCACCATTTTGAGGTCAGATCTGAGGATCTAATCATTGCCTTAGAGGCAGATGAGCAGAGATTTTCCCCTATGATCAGGAGTAAGGAACTGGACTCAGGCCAGGCCAGTCACCATTCCACTGTACTTCCCTGGGGACTCGGGAACCAACAGCTCTTTAGATGCACACTCTCTGGGCTCCTGTCTAAGGCAGATAACCGAGAGCAGAGGCCCCTGCATCAGTAGTGCTGCCTCTCACCTGCCTGTGTGAGTGACCTGGTCAGGTTCTCACTGAGTTTTCATCTGTTCTGTGGTCTTGAATCAAAGCTTGTGCAGTGTCCTGAGGTCCTTAGAGCAGGTGATGTGCCATGAAAACTGGTGGGCGGCACCCTCCTGGCTTTGTTTGATCTCCATTCCATCTTCATTCTGGTGCCTGCAGCTGCCCTCAGCCTTCAAAGTGATTCTCACCAGAGTGAGGACTCTTTTTCTCCATGGA